GTGCGTTCACGAGGCCGTCGCACAGCATAACAAATGCGGCCTCCTTCCCCCACCGAAACCTCTGGCCTTTTGATGTGGGAGCGTGGAGCGGCTTTGTGATTGTTGCAAACCCGGGCTCGAAGAGGCAGTAATATGACACGAACCCCACAAAACTCTGCCGACCTCGCCCACCGACGGGTCAGCCACTTGCTTATGCACGCAATCTTTGCAAGGACCGTGGTAATCCCGGACTCACTAACAATGTGACCCAGGTAGTGAACCAACTTTTGCAAGAGGTAACATTTCTGCGGCTTGAATTTCAAATTAGCCGCCCGCATTTAAAAAATACCGCATGCAACCGCTGCAAATGTTCCCGGAACGTGCGACCGAAGACAATCACGTCATCCAGATCAGACATAAGTCGCTGGAACATGGCCGGAGCTGAGTGAAGCCCCATCGGAAGCACGTTAAATTGAAACAGCCCTTGCGGTGTGCAGAATGCGGTTTTGAACTTTCATCCAGGGACAACTGCCAAAACCCCGACAATAGATTCAGGGTGGAGAAAAACCATGCCCCTTATAGGGCATCCAACGAATCATCCATCTGTGGGAGTGGATATGCGTCCGCCACGGAGACTTTATTTAATTTCCGAAAATCCACACAAAAACGCAAACTCCCGTCCTTTTTAACCAGGATAATGGGAGCACCCCACGGACTGGTGGACGGGAAGATCATATCGGCGGCCAACATCTCGTCTGACGAGCATAGTCCTTTTCCTTTGGACCGAAATGAGTTCAGACGAATGGGAGCGTCGCCACCCGTATCAATATGGTGACGCATCAAGGACGTGTGGCCTACATCGAATTTACCCTTACTAAATACATTGGAGAATTCCCAAAGCAATGCCCGCAACTCGCCCCTCTGCTCCCACGACAAATCCGGATTACCCGCACACAACGGATCCATCCATGAGTCATCCGACACCGATTCCCGTTCAACCATGGCCACGACCTGAGTGGTTACATCATTTGTTTCTCCACAACATGCCGCCGTTGCGTGGGCCAACACCGTACCCACCTGTATGACCGCGGTACCCAGCCCAGCATTTAATACTTGCAGGTGGAGGGAAGGTCCCCCCCCCCCGCTGGTCCCGTCGTCGTCCCACGCTGAATCTCCCGCACGGGCTCCAACTCCCCGATGCGCAGACCCGAGAAGACTCTCGGTGCTCCTGGTCGGCCTCTTCTCCCGAGAATCCAGCCCAGGCCGCCACCCCGGCACGCCATCGCAGGTTACAATGGGCCTGGATGTATCGTGCTACCTGAATCAAGGATAGGTCGTCTTCTTCCGTGGCCGGCAAAAAAAAACGCTAATTTCTTGAGCCAGCGCCAACAATTTCTTCAGTACCTAGTCCTGCCTGCTCCATATTTGGGTACGCAGCCTGGGCCAGCGACATTAGTGTACTGTGGAAGGCGAGGGGCATTTCAGTCTCCCTCCTACTCCGCATCATGAATTTATGCCGCGCGTTGGACGGCGGGTCAAAAATTGCTGCCGCCTGTCCAATGCTTGCCACAGTGTCGCCCTGTCCTCCTGGGGAATGACAGAAAACGCCGCCAAGGCATCATCGTCTAGCATGGTGGGAAGAACACGTAGCGCCTCCACGTCGGACTACCCTGTAAACTCGCAAGTGGCGGCAAAACGCCGCCGGAAGGCTGCCCAATTACCCCCCGCAGCCAAAAATGCCTTAATAAACGCAACCGCTGCACGAGGGAAGGCACCCCCGGATGAGCTGTCGGCGGCAGGATACATTCGGCGGGACTCAATTCCCGCCCTTGGTCGACAGTGACGGCAGAGTCGCCCGTTCGCTGCCCCCGAGTCGCAGCCCCCTCCACTGGCTCTTCCTTACCCAGCTGCCCCACCAGCGCCGTCACCGCAGAGAGCAGCTTCACGATGCGCGCGCTGAGTGCCCGCAGCCCTTCTCCAGCCGGCGGCGCCGCGGGATCGTCGTCCTTCGCCTGCTGCCCCACTGGGACCGCCTCTCCAGGACCCCCGACTGGGGTCCCAGCTGCCGGGGTTGCACGGGAACCCTCATCGCTTGAGGATATGAGGATATGGCGATGTGGGCCCTCCTCTTCGCGGATTTCGACATAGCCTATTCCCCCCACAAGGATTTCCAAAGGAAAAAAGAAAATTCCTATCAACCCTAAAAAAAAGTTCGTTAACACTTCTGTGTAGTGTACTAATTCAGAGACACTAGTAGGAGGTGTTATCCATCGTGTTTATTCCAGATCTCACAGCGATAGGGGATAACTCCATACCGGGTCGGGACGGCCAACATGCTTCCAGACCCACAGCTCGACAGCAGCACGACAAGTTCCATTCCCGATGGCAGCCACCCCGACTGTGAGTAGGAGCTCGCCTTTTATTCTCCCCAGCATGACCAGGCTCCGCCCTCGGCCACGCTCCCTTCTGGATCCTCCAGAAGGCTCTGGGCTTGGCCCACGGATCCCAGCTGGTAGAACGGGCTGCTACCCCTAATTCCATTGTCTACCAATCTCCAAGCACCACACTTTACAGTTACTTATTCAATGTCACTTCACATGTTTAAAGGTTTGCATGCACTCTTCCATTGAACGCACTCAATACCCTAGGATGTAGCCACGACAGTAGATTTTTCTTGTCAGAGTATCATTTAGTAATAGGTTTTTACCCTTTTAGCTGGCACAAAAACTGACACCTTTATACAAGGGATCATGTTTGCAATAACCACAACACAAGCAGTCAAAAATGCAAACAAAAAGAAACAACTCTGATGATGATATGCACTGTCCTGGAATTTAATTGGTCCACACCCGAGACAGCTTCTCTTAGAGCCTGGTCCAACACCAGTGGAGACTAGGCTCTAAGAAAAGCTGTCTCGGGTGTGGACCAATCAAATTCAAGGACAGTGCATATCATTAATGGAGTTGTCTCTTTTTGTTTGCATTTTTGTCTGCTTGTGTTGTGGTTATTGTAAACATGATCCCTTGTATAAAGGTGTCAGTTTTTGTGCCAGCTAAAAGGGTAAAAACCTATTACTATATCTTGTTACTGGCAAAGGAAGTCTCATAGAGTATCATTTATTTCAGTATAACTATTATAAATCGAAGTGTTTCTCCAGAATAAAATTATCATATACGTTAATTCTAGATGTGAAGCTTTCGTGACTGCAAGGATTCATACTCTTTGTTTTTTTCGGTAAAGTCACGTAGGTAAAATAAAATTTAAAATAAAAGAAAACAACTCAATTAAATCACGACGTTTCGGAGGCAACACAAGCTTCCGTCTTCAGGTGGAACAGTCACAGCAAGATAGCTGCATCAAGTGGGGAGCTCTGAGACCCTCGAGCTTATATGCAGGTTAAGGGGGGGAGAGGAGCCAAACAGGGGGAGATGGACGACGATGGCCTGCGGGGCTAAGTTAATCCGTCTTTTGTTATGTTGAGGGTTGGGGGGAAGCGATGGTTCACTGCACGGGGGCAATGAAAAAGGTTAAGGGGGGGGAGGAGCCAAGCCAGTGCTTGAATATAAATTCAACTACTCAACCAATTGTGAAAATTCCACACAACTGTTATTTATGTTGTAATTGCAAATTAATTGCCTCCAAGGGCAAATATGAAGGTGGACAGACAGATAGGACTGTTTTAAGCAGCATGTATTAAAATAATCTAAACAGACAATCCAACTTGGTTTGAAAGGGATCTCACTTCTGCAAAGGAATGAAAACTGTCACATTACGGCACATTGCAGTCTGGTTCCAGTTACTTGGCAAGAGCATTTTTTATGAGGTTAAGTATTTTATGTGCCCCATAATTTAATTAAACCTTGCTACGAAAATTTACATTTAACAGAACGTTTTTGTTCGTATGAAATGCATGTTGACATAACCATAACACTATGGTGCACATGTAAGACGTGGTTAGTTCACACGGCATGTACCGTTTTTTCCTGCCGTCTTAGTTTTCAGTGTACCGTATGCTGAACGGACCTCTTACCGTTGTCACCATGTGGTACCGGAGCCCAGAGATACAATCTCATTATGTGTCACTCCTCGCCACCACATGGCAGTGCTGCCGGCAGGGAACACGTCGAGCCAATCTGCTATCATTGCTCTCTCAGAGCTTGGGTTTTCGTGGCGCGCAAAAGTGGATGTAAATGTTAATTTCAAGCGTTGTGATGTGTCACTTTGCAGGTATTAGGTGGCTTGGTTAGGGCTGGCAGAGATTGCGTTTTTAGTGATTTGATTGCGGGATTGTACAAACCGTGTCTGGCGTGCATTCTTAATTGAGCATGTAACTGTTGGAACAGGAAATCTGCAACAGTACATTTTCTGGCCAGATCTGCAGGCTGAATTATTAGTCTTGTGTGCAGTATATTATCAGCCATTTATCATGAAGCAGAGGTTAATGTCTAAGAGATTCCAAGCTTGCAACTCAATTTTCGTTTGCTTGCAGTTGCTCGGAAAACCAAACATGATTTAATATCAGTACATAAACCTAAAACGCTTTGAGTCACCGAATTTTTTGAGTAGGTTGTGCATTGAACATCAGACTTTAGTGTTTCTCAATACTTAATTTTTTTTTAAACACATCTCTCTTCATATAACTGTGTAATGCAGGTCTGTAAACACTTTATGGGTTGATATTCTCATGACACTATTGGGATTTTAGCAAATGTTGGTGTATATTGTGCTTCAATTGTGCTGGGATCTCAGCACTGATTATTAAGTTAATTCTCACAACTCTTTTTTGTGCCAAAGTTAAACTTTCAAGCATATCTATTAAATATTTGGGATGTTAATTTATGACGAATAAGCCAAAACAAATTTTCAGAGACATATGTGTGTACATTAAGAACTGTATTTTTTGCAAACGGGGTTAAATTTCATTTTGAATCTAGAAACGTTAGATTAGCATGTGCATGCAAATGATGTTACTGGAAATATTCTGGCAAACATTAATGCTTTTCTATACTGTGTGGCTGCAGGTGAGAAATGTGGAGACAAATCAGTGCCTGGACAACATGGGTCGGAAAGAGAATGAAAAGATTGGGATCTTCAACTGCCACAGCATGGGTGGAAACCAGGTAAGTTCTACAGAAGAAGTCAGTGTGATTTCCTACTTAAATTGGCATTGAGGTGGTGCTCATTATCCATTTACAGCCCTGAGCCACTGATGGAATTCCACATTCCTGTGGTGGGGGTGAGTATTCATAGGACAACCACTATTGACCTCCCCACAAAGTGGTACATATTTGACCAATCCCAGAGGGATGATGGGCCAAGTTAACCCCCCCCCCGAGCTGGGATTTCATCTTGCAAGCTTCTTATTGTGAAGCACTGCTTGTAACCACTAAGCCACCTGGCTGGCAGGTCAAGTGCTACAGGAAAAGCCGTGCTGGAGTAATACAGTAGTACCCTGGAGATCGAACTTAATTCGTTCCAGAAGGCCATTCGAACACCGATTTGTTCGAACACCGAATTAATTTTCCCCATAAGAATTCATGTAAGTGACATTAATTGGTTCCAGACACAAGTAATCTCTCATTATAAAGCATTTTTATACGAAGTTTAGAGTAATTACGTGCATAAAATCATAAAAAATACAAGAGACACAATAAATAAATAGAATAAATACATGGAATAAATGAAATAAATGAACATTGAACTTGACTTTACCTGTAGTAGGGAGAGTTGATGGCTTGAGTGGAAGGTGGTGAGGAGGAGGAGGAGGAGGTGGTGGTGTTATTGTTTTGGAAGGGGAGTCCCCTTTGTCTGGGCAAGCGTCATGCACGCTGCTGGCCATACGCTTCTCAGCCGTACAGGTTCTTTCAAGTCGCGATTGGCCGTTCGACCTCCGAATTTCGTTCGGTTTCCGGGGCAAAAAATGTTGGGAAATACTAAATATGGTTCGAACACCGATTTGTTCGAGTTCTGCTGCGTTCGATCTCCGAGGACACTTTTACTCACGATATAGGATTACTGTTTTTTATTATGTGATTCACTGTTATAAGTTGTATGAGTGCTAAGGTGATGACCTCACCTTAGCACTTACAAACTCGTATGTTGGAACCTGTAAAAGACATTAATGTAACAGAACACTGAGCACACGCACAATTTGTCAGTAATTTGTTGTAAATTGTTATGCCTTTTCAAACCGCCACCGACACCTACTTTCAGCTGCTGTCTTAACAAAGATAATATTAATCAAAACATATGTCTCTAAACACGTCTCCTGCTGGCTGCCCCCATTTTTATTAAAATCTTTATTGTACTCTCATTCTCTTTTTTTCAAGAAATACCTGACCCCCCCCCCCCCTCCAAGACTTAAGACAAATCTCTCGAAATAAATTACCTGCAGGGCAGCTTCTGATGAGCACCTGGGCTTATATATCACATTTAATGTGACTTAATTGTGTTCACCAACCAGTGTAATGGGTAATGATGAAAATAAATGCATGAAGGGTGAATTTTATGATGTGGCTTGCAAAAGTATATGTAGTGTTCTGCTGTTGCAGGCTTCAATGATGTGTTTCTTGTGCTGGATTCATGAAATATGGAAATATGCCCTCTACTGGTTCTCAGGGGATGGTTCAGATGTTCACGTATCAAACCACACGAATTATATATTTAGCATTTTTGTGTTTTTAACGACCTTTGATGCCTGGTTGCACATGCTATAATATATATGAATGGGTTCCTCCTAATTACAAATGGTGTAGATCACTGAATTATGAACCATGTCGCTGCTGTATATCATTGCTAATTGTCTCATGCATTATACATTTTGTAATTTGAAACCTCTGCCGTATTGCTCTCCTTACATTGCTTCACAAAATGATAATAATATTCCGTGGTTGCATGACACCACAAGGCACCCTAAACTAAATACTAAAAAACCCACGTATTTATTTCATCACACTGTGCCATCACTGTACAATCTATTGATAAAACAAAAAAAACTATGCCTATTGAAGCTGTCTCCATTTTCCAGGTATTTTCGTACACTGCGGACAAGGAGCTCCGGACGGACGACCTTTGTCTGGACGTGTCTCGCATGAACGGTCCTGTGCTCATGCTGAAGTGCCACCACATGAAAGGCAACCAGCTATGGGACTATGACCAGCAGGTAAAAAAAAAAGCGTCCGCATTGTTGGACACCAAGTATCACTTTGCGTGTCCTTCGCAGAACATCACCGCCCAGTGCAGAGAAATAACAATACCTGAGGGTTTTATCGGCTGACGTTCAAAGTGGCTGTTAATTTGTCCCTTGCAATTATAACAATGATAACATGCGGGCCCCACAGTGCATTTGCCATTGACTCGGGTGCATAATTATTTTACCATTTGTCAGCTGGACAAAGGGCATTGTTATAATGCAGAACTCTACCTGCAATTACTGCTAAGCTTCACGTGAAAGAAAGAATAAGCCTTTGAAATCAAGGATAAATATGAAATTCAATAACTCAATAAAAAAAACTGTTTCATGGCATTGCTTTTAACAGTTGTGTTTTAATTGGATTCCCATTGTGCCTTGCATCAAAAGGTTATTGGCATAAAAAAGCTTTCCTGGATTCTTGCTGTGAGTTTGTCAGTTTTCTCCCACGAGTGAGTGAAGTAGTAAAGCGCGTGGATGCTCCAAGTATATTGATATATAACGCCTTCTGAGCTCGGTGATTGACAGTGACATGCTTACAACACGCTGCTTTACGATGCCTTTTGGCACTGCAGGATTCCCTTTTTTATGCTGGAATCAGTTGGATGATCGTGCAGTGTGTCTAATCCGTGCAACTGTGGCAGAACAGGCAATGTGATACATTTTAGCACCGGTGTGCACCACTATTCCATTGTGTTAATAAGGAATAGGTTTTAATATAATTTTGCAGTGCAGTGTAATTTATTATACCTCGGGGTTGGCTTTTGAGACAAAGAGTTTATCTCTGGGACAGAGCAAACACATTCTGCTTAAATATACATAGGCCAGTATATTTTACACGAGTATCCAGAAATCATCCTGGCTCTTCAAACCATTTATTAATACATGGGTTTCACGTTTTTATTCAGAACAAACTAATCCCTTTTCTCATTTCATGCATCCACTGTGTCAGAGCTTCCAGCTGTTCCCTTCTCGCTCCATCGCATGCTCTCATTCCGCGCCTTGACTCTCCTTTCCTGCTGAGCTCTCCGCATTACGTATCCTTGTTGTGTCCATCTTTACTGTGTCAGAATGCAGGCAAATGGGACTATGACTTCAAGGTAAGGCTTCAGATGGGCCATATTTGAAATTATGATAATCCGATGATAATGAAACTGAAAGATTCGCAAAAATATATATTTAAAATTCTATATGTAGGCAGTTATACTCCATGTCCGCATGGTCCATATATGTATGAGTAAATGCATATATGCGATCCCATGAATGGGTGATTCTAAAAAGCCTATTAAGCCATGCAGGTTAATGAACCCTGTTGGCAGATTGCTTCCTTAGTCATCTCCTGTGAAACAATTGCACCGTTTCCAGGAGAGATGAGTTTATTCTGCTAAAATGGTTGGATCAGATGTGCTAGTAAACACATTTAAGCCAAGCGCCAAGCCTGACAAAGCCAGGCACGCATCCCTTTGTGATGCTTCTGTGTAATTAAAGCACATCATTCATCTAGAATTCAAAAGATGAATGTCACCATTTCCATAATATTTAGAGCATTTGGATACTGGGGATCTGGTTAGTGTTGCCTTTGTGTAACTCGAATATATTCATGAACTCTTTTCTCTAACAGCTCTTTAACCTACTCCCATTTGTCTCATAAATGTTTCCTCTGTTTCACTGTAAATGAGCACTTGACAGCACTCTTCTTTTAATGTATTCAAGGGCCTAGAAATGGAAGGGGTAACTGAGAATGCATCTCACCTGAGCACTTGTCACATGGTCCAAGATTTCCTGCACAAACAACTGTTTTGGAAATGTTACCAAATAGGTTGAAGCAAGGAAAATTATGTTTGGCACAGCATTGCTCGCAAATTTCATTTACAATGGTATGTGTTTGTATATTTACATGCAAAATGAAATATGGGAAAATATCTGCATACTCACACCCTGAAAAATGTGCACGTGTGTCCATGCATCTGTGTGTACCGGTGCGTGTGTGCATACCCGTGCAGGTTGTGTGTGTGTGTGTAATCAGGCATTTGCACACGAGTCTCTTTGTGTCGCGTTCTAACGCTTGTTCACACCATCGTCCTCTTCTCCTCACTCCGTGGCTCATTCCCCAGTGCATCGTGCTCGCTGGTACACCGTGTTAAGCCTCTTCACTGCACCATTGTGGCGGCTGAACTGGAAGCAAATTGAGCCAAATAAATATGTACACATTTTCTCCACACTCGCACCGTAAAAAATATGGTAATGTTCTCCAGCGTTCTTCCACAATTAAATTAAAGTATGGATTTGTTCCTTCGTGTCCCCCTTAGCACTTGTTCAAAGCCTGGTAACACGATTTAATTTATCTTCCGTTCGTGTTCAGTTTGGGGGGGGGGGTGGTGTGGTTTGCTGGGTCGCTGTTTCTTAACGTGACCATTAACATCGAAATAAATGTGTAGCATAAATGTTGATTATTTGAAGTGGTTTTTAGTTGCACTTGCACTTTTGTTTTTCATGCGGCTACCGTTTGGCGCAGAAGCATACGTTTAGACACTCGGGCACGAAGCAGTGCCTGTCACTGAGTAAGCCAGAGGGCAGAGGGGACACGGCCCCTATCATGCAGCGCTGTGACCCGGAGAGCCATTCACAGAGGTGGCTGCTCCGCAACTTGACGCTCACCGAGGTCCTCCGCAACATCTTCGACAGCCCCGATGAATATGTGCTCTAGTGGGAGAGGGTACCCACCTGTGCGTGCAACAGAATTGCATTGCCGACTTTCTAGAAACGGTAGATGGCCGATTACGAATGCATGTGGCTTCTCCCGTAGACCGTAGCAGCAAATGTAAATGATTTTGCAATACCCTGCGTGATGTTGTTTCTCAAGCTTCAGTGAGTGTTGTGACCGTGTGATATCGCGAATGGCTTTTCTAGTCGGTCTTTATATGAACGTAGTGCAAAAGTGTGGTAGACTGACAGTAAAGTCTTTTGAATGAATTGTGTACAACATAGAGTAGCATATTTATTGCTTTGAAGTTTACAATATGTATTGTTATATACATATTATCATGCAAAATTGTACATTTGAAAATATTTGCTTTTTCTTTCAGTATGCCTGTATTTATTAAAACAACCTTATTACATTTGTTTACCCATAAAAATCCTGAGTCTCAAGACTCTTTGTCAGGAAGGTCCTGCCAAGCTTTTGCAGTCGGGAGCAACGATTGCTCTGCTCCCTAATTAAAACATTTGTATGTTTTTTCAAATTCGGACCATGACGTTATTCTTCGAATAACGTTATTCTTCGAATAACGTCATGGAATCTTTATTGTCCACTGAAGCGGACGGCACTTTTTTGTGGTTAATACGTCTGCAATTATTAACCAGGGTGGGCAATAGGCTGTAACCGATAATCTCTGCAATAAGTGGCAGATGCATCATACTACGGAGCCAATGTCACCAACAGCCTTTAACAACGAAAGAGTATTTTTTTATAAGTCTCTTCTCTCTCTCTCGGCAATTACGTGTCTCTTCTATGTCTCTCTTTGGCAAACATCTAAACCTTGCTAACTGTGTACGTGCTTCTCTTTCTTTTTTTTTTATAAATGCAGAAACTGATCATGCGTCACACAAACAGTAACCAGTGTCTGGACAAGGCCACGGAGCAGGACCGCCAGGTGCCCACCATGCGGGAGTGCGACGGCGGCCGCTCCCAGCAGTGGATCCTGCGCAACATGACGGTTGCAGCGATATCTTGAAGCGGGTCATTCGACATCGCTTTTGTTGCTTTTCATTACGCGCGCATAGCCCATCACACACACACACACCCCCCTCCTTTGCTTTTTAAGGTGGAGCGGAATATTTACGTAAAAGACACACGTGAAACAGAAACCAAACCAATGCTTGGGACTGAATATGGCGATAAGTAACGCCGGCGAAATTGTGTGGCACGTCATGCCTTGTGGCCTCGTCCACATTTTTGACACAATTGCGGGTTTCCGTTAGTAGCTAATATTGCTGACAAATTATAGAATTATAAGGCTTTTGATACAAATGCAGTTTCGGGATTTTCTATACACATTACCCTCTATCTGATTGTGAAATATGTGTTTACGGATGGGTAATGGAATCAAAGTGTGCAAAGTTAAAATGAATTTATCCATAGTTAATTTTCTATAGATTTGCCACTCGAAGCTGTGAAGAAGGTGTTACAACAACTGACCACTCTTATTTTATAATGCTCCTTACTGCAGTATGATGTAAAAACTAAATCAAACATTGGACTTAAGAACAACGTATGCATTTCTTGTTTTTAACATTTTCCTGCATTTGTATATAAAGTATGTAAAGTATAAATTAGTTTGAGATTATGAAAACTTTTTTTCTGGGTATTTTAATGTCGGTAAACACTGTATGGCCTTACATGAATTGTGTTGTTTTCGAAAGATTATTTTAACGTGTAATTTAAACAAAAATCAAGATTATAAAATGGCAAGCGCGTATTAAAACAATAGATTTCAATGTCTTTTAAGTGCTTCAAAGGCAACGTTCATAAAGACAGTGACTTGGTTATAATAAAAAAAATACTCATAAATCAAAAATCTTAGCATATCTGATGAGCTTATTAATTTATGCTTCGAGATTAAATATCTTTTCAGTGCTTTTTTATTTATCCAGCAACAACAACAAAAAGGCAATGTGTTTCATTTGTTAACAATCATATTAAACCGCACAACTTGGTTGTGTTATATAGCACAAACAGTGAACCTCTGCATGAACAAGCAGATGAACACAATGGCAAACTGGTGTTGGGGGGATCAGACTTACAGCTTGCTTTTCATGGGGACCTGTTGTAGCTGCTGCGTATGCTGCTGTTGTATGGGGGTATATTTGTTCCTTTTTGTCCCAGTGGTCAGACTTTGTCTTGTATGGGGAGATTCTAAAGATGATGATAATGATTTACTTGCGACGAGACTGCTCGTATAATGATGTCTGTATATTTTGTGACTGAAATTAAAGTGGAGGTATTTATAAACTAAATCAAAGTCCAGATCTCCATGTCCTGTTTTTGGAGATTACACTATCTCGTAGTTATTCCACAGCTGTAATGTCACGTCGGGCAGCTGTTGACATGCTCCCTCCTCAAGGAAGAACAATGAACCTCTCATCTCGTGTACCTACTTTGCCATTATATCACACAAAATCATGAACAATGAAAATTAGTTCCAGCCCTATTACACAAATATTCAACCTTGAGCACAATAACAACCTAGGTTCTGATTCTAAACACACTCAGGCCCCTGATAGGGGTGGCGGAAGGGTGATGCAAAAAAATTAACGGCTGCCCAATAAACAGCCGTCATAAACCAGTGGCCATTGAAATGCTCCCTCAATGAAGATAAACTACATCAGAGCCTACACCACTGGAGGAGCAGCTTAAATTATGGTTCCAAAACTATTGAAAGAACCATTATGAATTTAGAATCGACCAAAGCTCAGCAGGGTTCCAAGCGATGAGGGGCAAACGAGGAAGACCCCTTTCAGGATGCCACGTGACAAATATACGTGACAAGCACCACGGCTCTCGTTCAATGGGCTCACAGTTCCGCAGCAGTAGCGCCGACAGCCTGCATGCCCACCACAATGTAGAGGCTGAACCAAGCATCACAGCCTCTCCCTCCTCTGATCCCCATACATGAACAAAAAGCAAGTTCAGATTTGTGAAACTCTACCGTCCGACCTCGATAGAATGGCAGTGCTTTTACCACATCCGCCTTGTCCTGGGCTGGTCATCCTTCTAAAAGAGCTGTACAGCTCAAGGGACCTTAACAGTTGAAAGAAGGTCTGATTCTGAGCTTGTGCAACCTACGTTGCTTATCTGACGCCACCTAAGCAAGGTGACATGCAAATGACTTTACCACATTGTTCTTCTGCAATACCATAAATGATGGGTCCACCGTCAATGCCCACACACATCTCGTGGAAGTGACTGCAATTAAAAAAAATGGCACTTGAGTGTAGGCAGCTTCAAGCTGCAGTGACCCGGAGGGTCAAATGGTGGCTCACAAATCCGCCACAGCAACTTATACAAATCCCAAGCAGAAGCCGTCAATCTGACCGCCACCTGCTGTCGTCTAAATCTTGATAAATATTGATTGATTATATGAAGGTTATCTCAAGATTATTGATCAAATACCTGCTCACCTTCCGAAATTGGTTGATTTTGCCACGTGAACCAGGCAGGCCCAGAGTCGTGTTACATAAGACATGGACACAAAAACCATGACTCATGAGGTCAAAGTATATCTAATATATATTGTTTAATGAGAGAACTCCGCATCTCAATCAGTTGTGCAACTTAACATTCGGTTACACCCTTGTAACATCGCAAAAATTATGGAAACAACGCCTTACCGATCAATGCAATGAAGACAATGCACAATGTTGGCGCCAGTGATGGAGGTGATATCAGAATTCACTTCCAAGTGTCTCTGTAAAGGCTGAAGAGTTTCTTTCAGCATGATTTTAATTGATTATAGAAAGACGTGCTTCCATTGATTTAGCTCGTTAGATGTCATGAGCTATTGAGATGACATTTGTAGAGTGGTTTGCTCATCGATTTGCTCATTGACTTTGTTGGTGACGGACGCTGCACGGCGGTGATTTGTGTCGGACAAGCTGCGGCTCTTCCCAACACAACACCATCCCTCTCACGCCCAGGCAAAGGGAACTGGACTTCTGCCTACGCTGCCGGGCGGAAAGCAGTGTACGTCTCTTTGGCCCAAAGGTGCTCTCTGATGCCGTTCTCAGCATCTCACGCGCGAATATTTCTCGGTAGCACTCGAAACCCTTTTAGAGTTGCAGTTGTAAGTCACGTGGCCTTTCGCACGAGTGCACCAGCGGCGCCGCAGACTTGATGAGCATCAGTTAGTCGTGAGTTTGCTCACAATTTGGAATGATTTAAAGTCACGTAGGTGAAAATAAAATAACAAAAAATCACGACGTTTCGGCCACAACACAAGCGGCCTGATCTTCAATGGATACATTGTTAAAAATTATATTCTGCAAAACAATATTAAAAATGGAAAACACCATATAATTTAGCTGGTCCTTAATTGACAACATGCAATAGAATGACACTAACCAGCCACACTTTTGAAAGTAACTTAATTATCAGCTTGGGGCACACGACACAGCAATAGGAATTACATATTGGAACAGTCCGTTATAATAATCAACTCGGTTTTCTATAGCACAATTCACACAACGCCTCGATGTACTTTTTATAGCCAACAAATGTAAATTACATATACGAGTTAGCTTACAAATACATATTAAACAACCTCAGGGTATATATGAATGAAGTAAGCGATGCATATTAATTTATCTGGACATTGTATTCCATGTTTCTCTTCTCACGAGAAGAGACATTTCCACCACCAACATTTACCAGGACAACACATTATATTGTTTAACCCTTGTACAGACACACACACATTTCAATTGATGCAGGTATTTCTCATATCCATTAGTGGGGTGGGGGACAAATCTTGAAATATCTCCGTGAATAACTGCAAAAGAAATCCGTATTTTGTTCAATTCCTCTGTGCAATTTCATTGCAGCTGTTGCATTTTTTGTCATTGGTTTTCATTCGCTGATAACGGTGTCATTGCAACAATAAAATGAAATTAACTACGGGAAATTACCAGTTCTTTAATGTACGTGAAAGAAAAGTGAAGTACCCAGAGAATACTCGTGTATACAAAGGGATCATAATGATAACATGATAACATAATGATAACAATGATATAATGATGACATGATAACAATGATAACAATGATATGATAACATAAATTGTATCATAATGATAACATAATGATAACATGATGATAACATAATGATAACATAATGATATAATTATATCATAATGATATCATAATGATAACAATGATATAATGATAACAATACAATCCATGCAGTTCAATCAGCAGCTCACTTGCACTGCCATCTCCATTCATTAATTCATAGAATCTGATCATTCATATACGCACACATGCGCACGCAAAAGGAAACATTGTTTTTTTGAACACTGAGTTTAACATGTTTAATTGTAATTAGTATGCTTTGTTTAATTGATTGATCAATACGTTTTGTATATACATTGTTCTTTGTTTTGCTGTGGTTTTCATATAAGCCTTCTAGGGTTTCCAACCTCACCTGCACACGTTTGCACTGTGTCTTTCGCTTGTTTTTTTGTGCGAATAAATACAATGAATAGTATTCCGGATAAACGTTGTAGAATATATCTGTATAGAGCACAATTAAACATGAGATCTCCAATGTGTGTTCATAAGTGTTGATATCAGCGCACAGTGGTTGCTAAGTGGTTGCTAAGGGTATAAATAATTAAGAAAAGGCATTATGGATGATGGTCAAGGATAATAACGGAGTGGCAGCCAAGGAATGGAACGCGTCCAAGGGTGCGTCCACCGAGGAGATGTTAGTGATAAAATCAGTTTGTGCCAGTGCCTGACGGATCATTACATTGCAGAATCGTGAGAAGTGGTTGTGCTTTAGAGATGCCTTTATCCAGCAGTGGATTGACCATGGCTGATGATGATAATGAATCACAATGTAATACATGTGTACCTCTGGATCAGCCGTTAACTGTTATCAGCCAGAGGCACCACAGTTGTACATGTTGTCTACCCATATTGCTGAATACACGTGAGAGCTTCTTTCTCCAGGGATTAAGCCTTCATGAATATCATGACTCTGTATTCATGTGTTTAGATTATTTAGCTGCTATACATTTCCACGTGATAAGCCACTTCGTTGAGCTATCATTTGTGGCCAGGATGTTCTGAAAAGGAAGCTAATAGTTGTTGGCATTACCTGATAAATTGAAAGCAGTTTAGTTTTATTTGTATTTTCTTTTAGTTATTTACCTTTCCTATATACTTTTCACTCGCATCGTGGCTTTATATTGTTTGTTGTTGTAACGTTTTGACTCACCCCTACTGGACGTCTGTGGAAAAATAGATGTATAACTCATCGGATTCCTCCAGTATAAATAAATATTCTGATTCTGAAGTATTCACAGTCGGGGGCAATGATTGCAATCTTTTCAGGACATATTTGAACCTTGACGCCGGCACACAATGGCCTACATGCACAGTAAATACTGGATATAAAAGGGCCGACAATGTTTTAGGAATGTAAAATGGTAAAAATAAATTACCCATAATAGAGGTTTTTTTTGCGTTAGATGGCATAAATATATAAATGTGTTGTTAAAACCCGCCGCCACCCGACACAGCCAACTAGTAAGGGTTGTCACGTAAACAGAACGTGGCCAATTCGTTACTAGCACAGCACACCGGCGTGTTGGAGAGCCAAGCCACAACATTTACAATCTGAGTACGACGTTTCGCCAGTAATTACAACTAGCTTCATCACGCGACAGCCAGATTTGTGGAGAAGTCTTAACTGTTTCGCTCCTTATATAGAGGCGTAGATGTCGTGACCACGCTTCTGCGCTCTTGCGCCACGTAGGGGAGAGGGGGATTACTGAGGCAACGTACATGATGCATGCGCATTACGCGAGCCCTTTAAACTTGTCCTTCCTATCTATTGTGTATTCAAATAGCCGTACCAACGGTAATCCCTAATGAAGTATGCTGCCCTTTGTAGGCATGCATTTAAATAATGTATTATTTGATGATTCGCTTCCATGTAGCACTAAGGCGGTAGCTATCCCAACGGTTAAAGTTATTTTTATTTCTTTCAATTTCGATAGATTATCTAATTAGTCTTGGCCAGTAGTAGCTATGTTTGCACAGAACTTCAACATGATCAAAATCATATTCTTTGGGTCTTTCGGTAAAGTCATGTAGATAGAAAAAATAAAAGTAAATAAAATAAAAATTACGACATTTCGATTATGACACAAGTGATCGTCATCAGGAGGAACAAGGGGGTAAGGCCACTGAAGACAACTGTTTTAAAGGTTTAAAAAGGGCGTTGCACAAGCGTCCTAGTAT